GAGGGGAAAAAAGGGGGTCGGGGACCAGAACCGGGTAAAACGAATGAGGATCGGAACTGTGGGAAAAGCGTGGGGGCTGGGGACGTAGGCCGGATAGAGGGGGGCTCCGAACGCGGAACAGGGAACGCGGACAGGAAATCACCGAGGCGGAGCGGGTGTCGGGTGGGGGGTCGTCCACCGAATAAAGGGGGGTGCGGAGCGGGCGACCGGAAGACGGAGGCGGGGGCTCCAGGAGGCGGATGAGCGGGGCTGGAGGGAAAACGGGCCTGGTAGTAGCGGCGTGGGGCGAAGAGGGCGCGGCGAGTAGAAGTGGGGTGGCATTGGGGAGCTGGGCTGAGGGACATCGATGGGGGGAGTCCCGAAGGCCGCACAGTGGAAAAGGGAGCCGAGAGGGGGAACCCTGGAGCAGGTGAGAGGGAAGGTTGAGCTTTTAGGCCTACTGACTGACATTCCACCTTTCCTAACCGCCTGAGGGGCTTGTGGTCTTTTCTTTTTTCTCTACTTGACACCCTCAGACACCCTTTGTCCAGTTCGGGTGAGACGGTTGGCTTTCTAACACCGAATTAGGTTACAGTAGTTGTCCAGTCCCCTGTCGTTACTGGTGGCCTTAGGGTTAGTGTTTCTTGATGGGCTCAGCTAATCAATTAGTCCCTGATAGTGCCTTTCTGTCAGCACCCTACACACACACACACACACACACACACACACACACACATACACACACACTTGAAGAGGGCTGGCCTATATCCCTATCCACATCCTCCCCAGCCCATCAGTACTGGAGACTGAACCCTAGGGTCTCCACCCCGCCCTCCTTGAGACAGAGTCTCACTAGGACACTAAATTGCTTACTCAGGGCTGAAACTCACAGTCCTCGTTCCTCAGTCTTCCAGAGTGCTGGCATTACAGGCAAACACCCCCAGGTACAGTTTCTTGTTTCCTCTTGTAATGACCGGGCTTGCCCTGTCTCTTTCCCTTCACCTTTGTACTGAGTCCCAGTTTTAGTCTTTTCCAAGAGGGTTCTCATTTCGTCTCTGATTTCCCGGCCTCCTAAAGAATGGCACTGGTGTAATTTGAACTCAGGTTCCCTGGTTCCAAAGGCTTTTCCCCACAATACCACACCACTGTCTCCAGTGTGAAATAAGCCTGGTAATGATAGATTCGTCAGGATAACCACCCTCAAATATAGGGCAAGAAAGTAATGGTTTCTCATGGAACTATCCCAGAACAAAACTATCGCATCAGGAATGAGTAAGGAGGGTCTAGAAAAGTATTCTTCGTCCTCACCCAAATCTCCTCTGGAAGTGAAACACACAAGTTCCACCATCCTTTCCTCTTTTTCTAAACCGGTTCCACTTACCTCACACGCCACTCAGGCCATTTTTCTCTCAAATGCTGTACTATAGAGTCACATCTTCAGCCCCTTGATGTACATTTTTATGTTTTCACTGTGTTCAAGTCATGGAAGAAAATAAAATGGTAAGGGGAAATAATACTGTTTCCAATATTAGGAATGCAAGTTAAAATTTTTTTCTTAGTAATCTCCTTCTTCCAAATCTTTCCAGTTACTGATAGTCTAAAAATCACCGAAACATTTATTTAAAAATAACTTTATTTCATAATCTTTTAAAAAATCCATAACCTCAGAGCTAATTCTCCCAAACTTCCCCCACCAAATAGTAAAATGTAAATAGTGCAGCGTGATCTGCTTATTTTTCTTTGCATCAGTTTCTAGCCAGTCCCATGGTGAGAATGTCAGTTGGCATTTATTGCATCATCATAAATTCTACCTGGCAAAGATGATTTTTTCCAGGTTTCAGTTCACAGATTATGGAAGTTGTCCATCATGTATTTTCCTGCTGCGATTATAGGTCCTGTGTGTGCTTGTGAAGAATAAAGCTAATATCAAATCCACAAAGATTTCAGGGCTCCCTCTGCAGTGTCTACCAAGTGTTGAGGAAATGCAGTATAATTGTAATAGCCCTGAAGTGTTTATCTTTCTGGTCCTGATAAGTAGATCTCATGGTCTTTTGAGTTAACAATGCATGCAAATAAGATTTTCTTACAGTAAAATACGGCAACGTGGACTTTGCCACACAAAGGCTGTAACCTACTCTCACCATGTTTATGGATTTGGGTATGGATCATGTTAGGGAAAAATGGGGGGAAGTCTCAATTATAAATCCCTAAAAGGTGACAATCTTCAGTCTCTGGGATCTTAAGTGACCCAGAATATAAATGTGCACACTGGGGTGACACAACAGCCATCACAGTTCCCTTGGTTGGGCACCAATCCCTTGAAGCTCCCATTTGCTGTGGAAAAACCCTCAGATATCTCCTTGTCACTAGGTGTATGTGCAAGAGAAAAGGAAGTTGTGAAAAGTATCCCAGTGATCCTGCAAAATATTGTCTATTTCCAGCTAGTGGTTTCCCCTCTAGTTTCTTCCCTTTAAAATCTAGTTAAAAATCAGTTTAAAATCTGAAAACTGGACTCTTGAATTCCGAAATTTAGCCATACAAGACTAAGGGAGACAAGCTCAGTCTCCAGAGACTTTAGAAGCAACCTGAGCATCTCATTCTGAAATGACACAGACAGTTTAGAATAACCCGGTATATAAGGTACTACTGCAGCAAAAAGACCTCACCAAGTAGAACTGCAGTTCACAGCTATTCCTGAGGGTTAAAAACTGCAGCGGCTCCAGACTCCCTAGTGTCCTGAGCTGAGGAGAGGGCACAAATCTGATTCTTCTCAGCTCAGTCTCTTCATCGAGGAAAACCAACCTTCCCTACCACCGCAGCAGGTTACCTCATAGAACCAGCTCCTCCTCTCAGAAGCCCATTCTCAGTACTGGAGAAGAGGAGCTCTCCGCTAAGCCCTACCTAGGTCTTGCCCATTGGAGCCGGATATACAACATTAAAGAGTGCAAATTCAAGTCAAATGTTTATGCTTAGCACACATCATGGGTCGCACCCTCATAAGGTCCCTGATATTAAGAGATTTGAATGAAATTAGAAAAAATTTTTTTAACTCAAGGATCTACTAGAAGCATTAGATTAGCAACTAAAACTCAGCACACTACGTTTGAACCTTAGTGTTCTCAATCAGTGTATACTAACAATACCCTTAAGAAGTAGGAAAGAAAGAAGTTTTCCCATTTCCGGGTAGAGAAACTGAGGTTACAGAGCCTAGTTTGTCTGAGGCTTCTTATCACCTGATATACTATTAGGAAATGTTTCGCGTGCCTTTTTTCCAAGCAACGAAGAAATGAAGTATGTGAAAAGCTGAAAGTGAATCCTAGGTACAGCACGTAGGAGGCTTATGTAAATGCGAAGCTCTGCACAATGCGAGGATATAATGAAAGACATCTCCTCTTATCAGCCTCTACCTCTTTTGAAAAGAATTACATCTCCAGGGGCATGGTTAGGAGCAGCTGACACTGCCCTCTCCCAAGCCATTCTGTAAAGAATGAAGGCAAGGCGGCCACTCCTAATTTACATTTTTTTCTTCCATTAGGGAAGGCAGAGGAGGTAACTAACTTCTATTGAGCACCTCTGAGGCACTTTTACATCTGAAATGACCTCCTTTCATCTTTACCACAAGCCTGGCAGCAGGAGGATTGATGTCGCCAGTTTCACACAGGAGGAAACAGCTCAGCAAGCGACACACCCAAGCCCAAGGCACAAGGAAGAGTCAAGCCCAGCGTTTCAGACTCTAAGGCCTGACCCAGACACCTTCCGCCAGCTCCGCTGCTGCTGGTAGCCGACACCTCACCTTTCCCAGGGAGCTGCCATCTGCCCGCTTCCTCCGTTGCAAGCACACCTGGGCAGAGATAAAGGAAGTTCCTGTCTTCCAACACAGTATTCCCTTTTGTGCTGGGACAAGCTGATTAGTGGCAAAGGGCATGGAGGCCCAGTGCTTCCACTGAACTGTGCTCTTTCCATATCAGTGCCTGTCATGCTAAGTCAACCTGTGGGGCGCCAGCAGCCACGGCAAAATGGCACCTCGCGTGCCAGCTGCAGCTTTCCCCACACCACTCCTTCCTGAAGCTTTTGAACGTCGCTGAGAAAACTTAGAGCAAATTAAACCAGTTGGTTTTTTTTAAATGGAAGGAAAAGACGTGTGTTTGTTTTTCTTGTTTGCTGAGGGACCCCAGCTGTTGGTAATGCAAGCTCCTGGGCAGGGGTGTGAATCAAGGCAAAGCTGATTAAGCAATCGTCTTCGTCTTCCGATGGAGCTTTCCAAGCTTTCAAGACAAGATGATCATGGGCAAACCTCTTCTTCACACCGGAAGATCTTCTTCTTGAACAGGGTCACTTTGCAGCTCATTGCTGTCATCTGTTCAGGGGAAAAACAGACCCAACCAAGTGATCTTCTTTTTCAGTACTTTCTCTCTCTCTCTCTCT